AAAAAAAAAAAAAAAAGAAAACTTTGAAGCAAATGTTTTATTTAGAAAAAATAATATGAGGATAATCTTTTCTTTTATAGCTGGGAGGGGTTTGTGTTCATCAGCAACTTTGAAACCTGTTTTATTTGGAGAAAATGCACTATCTGGGTGTTTTTTAGAAGTTGGGATTAATGCAAACTGCAGTCAGCTCAGGTGAGTGTTTCATTGATGAATTTATGTGCAATTTGAATGGCTTGGTTAACATTAGTTCACTATATGAATATCAAAGGCAACATGAATATGGAGAATTAAAGTCTGAATTAAAACTTGTAAGAGTCAACCATGAAGAGATTTACCATTTGTCTGAGATATCTGGGAAACAAAGAAAAAAAACAAACTTATAAAAGTGATGGTGAATAATGAATAAATATAACCTTGCAATACAATTTAGAGTTGATCCAATTATCAACATGAGACAAAACAGACCTTTTTCTTGAGATTAAAACTGTTTTATCCATATATAAGCAAATTTCTCTGCCAAAGTTTGTTTAGATCATCCAAACCTTTGTACTCTAGAGCTGTGAAAAGAGCCAGAGCAAGATATAACTGGTGTGATTAGTACTTAAAGAATATAAAAGCCCTGGACATGTTATATAAGGAACTTCCCATTTGATTTTTTTTTTTTTTTTTCAGTTTTTGGCCGGGGCTTGGTTTGAACCTGCCACCTCCAGCATATGGGGCTGGTTCCCTGCTCCTTTGAACCACAGGCACCACCCTGTTTTTTGTTTTTGAGACAGTCTTACTCTGTCGCCCTGGGTAGAATGCCACAGAGTCATAAATCACCTCATCCTCTCTGGGACTCAAGTGATTCTCCTGTCTTAGCCTCCCTAGTATCCTGGCTACTATTTCTAATTTTAGTAGAGATGGAGGTCTTGGTCTTGCTCAGACTTGTCTTAGACTCCTGAGCTCAGACAATCCACCCACCTCAGCCTCCCAGAGTGCTAGGATTACAGGCATAAGCATCATGACCAGCCCCTTTCCACTTGATTGTATGGGTGGCATTTGGAAAGTATACTTATAAATATGCTTATGCATTCTTTTATTTAAAATTTGGGTGAAATTAGCTGGGCATGGTGGCTCATGGCCTGTGTCCTAGCATTTTGGGAGGCTGAGGCAGGAGGATTGCTTGAGGTCAGAAATACAATACCAGCCTGAGAAAAAGTGAGACCCAGTCTCTGCAAAAATTAGAAAAACTTAGCTGGGCATAGTGGTGTGACCTCTAGTCCCAGTTACTCAGGGGGTTGAGGCTGGAGAATCACTTGAGCCCAGAAATTTGAGGTTATAGTGAGCCATAATGATGACACTCTAGCTGAGACAACAGAGTGAGGCTCTTTCTCAAAAATAAAAAAAGAAAAAGTTACGTGAAATTGACATAGTATCAGATATTAAGGGCAGGGAAACACTTTTTAAAAGCTAAAAAATTTTAAAAAGAACTTTCAAAAGGACAAAATATAAAACAAAGGAAAAAAATTCATATAACCTAGTCTTTTAAAGTGAACAATTCAGTAGCATTTAGTAAATTTATAATGTTATACAACCACCATCACCTCTATATTTTAAATTCCAAAACATTTTCATCACCAAGAAAGGAAGGCTGCATCTATTGAGCAACTTACTCTGCCTTTCCTTCTCATCCAGGCCTGTCAGTGACTCACCTGCCTTCTGTGTCTATGGGTTTACCTATTCTGGATGTTGGTGGCAGCACCTGATCATAGGTTATGAGGCCTTAATCGACAGTTAGCGTCCCCCTCCTACAGCTCAGATTTATATCCTCCAGTGATATTCCTAAAAAGGAGGGATGCTGTGTTCCAGTTCTTTTTTTTTTTTTTGAGATAGAGTTTTACTTTGTCACCCTTCGTAGAGTGCTATGGTTTCATAGCTGACAGCAACCTCCAACTCTGGGGCTCAAGTGATTCTCTTGTCTCAGCCTACTGAGTAGCTGGAAACTACAGGCACCCACCACAATGCCTAGCTATTTTTAGAGATGAGGTCTCGCTCTGGCTCAGGCTGGTCTTGAACCTGTGAGCTCAGGTGATCCACCCATCTTGGCCTCCCAGAGTGCTAGGATTACCAGTGTGAGCCACTGTGCTGGGCTTGAGTTCTAATTCTTAATCTTTACTTATTTTTATAACTCAGAATTCTAACTAGATATTTAGGCTCTTTTTACTGTTGGATCACTGTGGCTCATGAATTGATCCTAATAACTTGATATGTGACCTAACCACCTCCCAGGTTTTGGTGATATTTAGAGGAGCCTATAAATCACATGATACCAATGTAAGTTGCTAACAATTTAAGTACAAAGTCAAAGATTGCTTCTGTGTGTCTTCCCTTAGCTGTTTAGGGTCATCCTGTAAAGGTCATCAAAGAGAAATGTGATGCCCAGCCAGTTTTTAATGCCAGTTCCTCTGGCAATGTTTTATTTTATTTTTTTTGAGACAGAGTTTCATTTATTAACCCTTGGTAGAGTGCTGTGGCGTCACAGCTCACAGCAACCTCCAACTCCTGGGCTTAGATGATTCTCTTGCCTCAGCCTCCCAAGTAGCTGGGACTATAGGCTACATGGGGCCTGGCTATTTGGGGCCAGCGCCCTACTCACTGAGCCACAGGTGCCGCCCCCTCTGGCAATATTTTATTTAGGCACTTAGTGAGCACAGCCTGGACATTCACTGAAAAGGACTTTAGGACATGACCTGCTCGTCCTGAGCTGAGACATATCTTACTCTCTTGTAGGAGGAATGCTGCTGAAAGACTTGGTTCACTAATAAAAGTGACTCATGTTGCAATGAGAGGCAACTCAGATTACAATGATCTTAGTGATGGCTGGCTGGAGATAATACGTAAGTCAAAGCTGCATACAATAAAATGTATTGGTTGCTATGACTGCCAACTATAGTTTAGCCTTAGAGCTTGACCTAGTAGGTCATCTTTCTTTGCTGTGGCTTAACTGAATTCAATTACTTAGTTGTTATATGAGTTAGCAATCTTTGTAAACGGAAGCCCAGGCAGATGCTCTGGGGACCTGAGGTGGGAGGATGGCTTGAGGTCAGGAGTTGGATGCCAGCCTGGGCAACATAGTAAGACCCTTTCTCTAAACTTAGCTGGCTGGAGTGGCATGTACATGTAGTCTTAGCTACTCAGGAGGCTGACGCAGGAGGATTGCTTGAACCCAGGAGTTTGAGATTGCAATTGGCTATTATTGAGCTGCTAACCTCTAGCCAGGGAGACAGAACAAGAAAAAAAAAAAAAAAAGGAAAAAGGAGAAAGTCCAAAAATCTAAATGAGATTTAAAAACTTTTAGTGCACTTCAGTTTGCATTTATTTATTTATTTATTTTTTAGAGACAGAGTCTCACTTTATTGCCCTCAGTAGAGTGCTGTGGTGTCACAGCTCACAGCAACCTCCAGCTTTTGAGCTTAGACGATTCTCTTGCCTCAGCTTCCCAAGTAGCTAGGACTAGAGGCGCCTGCCACAATGCCCGACTATTTTTTGTTGCAGTTTGGCCAGGGCCAGGTTTGAACCCACCACCCTCGGTATATGGGACTGGCGCTGAACCCACTGAGCCACAGGCACTGCCTTTTGATTGCCAGGAATATAGGAATTTGAGAATTGACTTTGTTATTTGTTTATTTATTTATTTATTTATAGAGTTTCACTATGTCATCCTCAGTAGAGTGCTGTGGTGTCATAGCTCACAGCAACCTAAAACTCTTGGGCTTAAGTGATTCTTTTTCCTCAGCTTCCCAAGTAGCTAGGACTATAGGTGCTTGCCATAATGCCCGGCTATTTTTTCATTGCAGTTGTCATTGTTGTTTAGCTGGCCCAGGCTGGGTTCGAACCTCCAGCCTGGGTGTATGTTGCTGACACCCTACCCACTGAGCTATAGGCGCTGCCCTGACTTTGTAATTTATAAAATCAATTTTGTTAGCTTAAAAGAAAAGAAGGTGATTGAAAACATTGGGGTAAGTTTAAGAAGCCAGACACAAAAGACCACATATCATCATGTGGTGATATGGTCTTCAGCAGTACATATAATCCAAATTGGCCTGGTATGGGGAAGATTAGCATGGCTCCTGCAGGATGACACATAACTTTGTGAAGTGTTCCATGTTAGAAAGGAAGGAAGGAAGAAAGGAAAAGGGAAAGGAAGGGAAGGGAAGAACAAAAGGCCACATATTGTATGACTCTCGTTATGTGCAGTGTCCAGTGAGGGCAAATGCATAAGAGACAGAAAGTGGATTAGTGGGTGCCAGGGGCTATAGGTGTTGGGAAAAAATTGGGAACGACTACCATGGGTAAAGGGTTTCTTCATGGGGTGATAAAATGTTCTAAAATAAAACCAGGTGGTAGTTGTACAACTCTGTGAGTATATTCAAAACTACTAAATTGCACACTTTAAATGGGTAGTTTGTGTGGTATGTGAATTATGTCTGAATAAAGCTGTTAAAAAGAAAGAAATTAAGGTATAACATATCTAATAATAGCAGGGATCACAGAGGCCAGTTGATAGTCCAGTGTCTTTGGCCAAAGTGTTGGTTTGACAAGTGGATTGTGCACAAAGTTGCGCAGCAGGTTGGAAATACACCACATGCACATAGAGTAAAAGTGAACTGGGCGTAGCTTGCACAACCTCCTAGTCCAAATGTCCATATAGTTGTTGAGATCCAGCTCAGTGGGTTATCTATGGGAAGGCTACGGTCATGTGAGTTTTCGCAGAGCTAGAATGAAAACCCAAGGTTCCAGCCTATATTCTCTCTTCCCAGGTAGCAAGTAAGGTAGCTGGGACTTGTCAGGTATCTTTCAGATTTCTTGGGGAGTCTTAAGCGTGTAAATGAAATATGTTGAATAGAAAGCTTCTTCTTCTTC